ATGAAATAAAAATTTGCCGCTCTGGGCAAGGGCCATAGCCCCTACCTAAATATGCCCAGGTATGTTTGGCAACATTGCATGGAATTTTAAGAACTTAATCATAATAGTCATAAAGGTCTTAGAATAAATTTAATAACAAATCATCTAGCCGTATATTAATTTCTACTAGTTAATAGACTATGAAAAAATAAATCAAAAATTTTAGATTGAACGTTAAAACCATAATTAATCAAAATTCACATACTTCATTGAGCTTATATTAAAAAACCAATGGCAAATGATGGTAATCTTGTTACAGAAGTAGAGGAGAAGAAATAATCGTGACTTGCTTCCACAATATATAATATGCATTAGAATAATGCGATACACATAACCGTAAGATTAACATTTTACGATTTAATGGTTAAAGGGAAATCAGAATTCTCTTTCTCCTTTGTCCTTTCTCTCTATCTCTCTCTCTCTATTCTGCGTCTCTCAACTCCTTTGTTCTTGTATATATATATATATATATATATATATATATATATATGTATTATTAATGAATTCATCTATAGAATATATTTTTGACGAATTTTGGAAATTTAAATACTTTTGAATTGAAAAGGTAAACTTCCTCAACATTATAATATAATATTATATATATATTATATACGCAATAGTGTCATGCACTAATGCATAGATCAAATACTATAACCATTTAATTTTGATGATGAAAATTTCTTAACAAATTTTTTACTATCTACTCAGATATATATATATAGAATACAAAAATACTAATTTTTATAAAAGCATAATATAGCATATTATACATTTCGTAGATTGAATTAGATATATAAATAGAGTGTCGCTGTTGTCGGCTCTTATAAAAATAAATAAGGGTGCCTTAACAGCTGTATAAAAAAAAAATGGAAAATGTAATAATATGCTAATATGCCGTCTCGTCGGCCTTTACACAATGATAAAAAACAAATATGGTCGACCAATACTCACATGTGACTATGTTGAATGGCTGATTTCATCAACGCCACCGCACCAACCATGTGATTAGACAATTACCTATGACGGTATACCGCAGTGTATAAATAAAAATAAATCACAGAATTAGTACGTTGCACCACCCAAGCACAGTCACCAACGAAAAAAACTGCAATGGTCCACAGCCCTGGACAATGAAACAATGAATGAAAAAAACCATGTTAATCACAAAGCGACCGCTGGTAAACTGAAAAAACAATGAATTACTCGCTAGACAATATCAGATTGCCTCGAACGATACTTTACCGACGGTCGATTTACAAACGAAAATGACACTATTATGGACAACGTGGTTTGAATGAAAATGGCTGCGGACGTACGAAGACTTGACAAACGAAAATGAGATGTGCACACCACGAAGACACAAACGAGAGAGAGTTGGTGCCGACGACATTTACCACGAAGGCTCTGGCCGCCGGACACCACAATGAAGATAAAATGCCTCAGTGGCACCACACAAAACTGAAAAAAATTAATGAACTTTGTAGCACTGAAAGCATGACTTGAAATTTACATGACCGACTAACATAATATAACTAACATAACCGACAAATTTTTGAAAACGTGGAATAACGACAATGTTTTCATGCGATGAAAACAACGCGAGTACGTACCCAGCCGGTCGCATACGGAGGTTTATTACCGTCGCCGACGAGGACTGCGGAAACGCAACACACCGCTACGCATCGCACGAAAATGATGACATGAAAAAAATTTACAAAAAAATATTGGCGCGAAATTCAAAGATACCTACAGCGCGAACATAGAGAATAAACTTTATTGTAAAATTTTACAATTAAATAGTTGAATAATTTTTTTCTGCTTTTCAGTATGATTTACTTTTTTTAAAAGTTTAAAATAAACGTTTTTACTTCAGTTATTTATCTAATTTTTCATAATCGTCTTTATACCATTGAAAAATATATTAGGTTTCCAAAAACGTTTCGTTATTAAATGTACTAGTATTAACTCATATATCTTCTATATTTCTTCGTATCTCCTACTTTGTACATGCATTAATTAAAATGTTATCAAAGTTTATTGAATGGGTGCTCCAAAAAGTTTTAGTATCATAAACGAATTTTAATTATGAGAAACGTTATTAAATTTGTTATTGAAATTATTCGTCTAATTGAAATTTAGGGTAAATTGAACCTGCAGCTATTATAATATTGAGCGAGTCGAATAAAAAAATTATATAACAGGTCTTTCGTGTTTTTTAAAATAGTTCGTAGTACCGGTTTCGTCATTAATTGCTCGTTTTAATTGCCTTTACGTCCGAGATAAGCAACATGTAAGATACGATCTATAATATTCATTAAATACCTTTGTGTGTTTTATATTATTTGTAAGAATAAATGATCAATGTCGTAATAAAGCATCCTTTCTCCCGAAGTATATAATATAATATGTATGGTCGTACGGGGGGCCACATTTCGCATGTTATTATAAACTCCATAGTGTATTATATGTATAATATTATGTTTATATTACTACTACTTAGTACCTATTAATATATATGTATTTTTAATCTCGCATCAGGTATGACAGTTTATGGTAAATTAAAACGATCGATTCCATTTTTTATGTCGTTTATTTATTTATTTTTTTAACAATGTAACTGGTATGGAACCAGTTAGTTCGTTCACCAGTAATAAGTTTATGGATGTATATATTTGTTATTATAGACATGTTTACAGACTTCGAAGATCAAAGGAATCGTTGAAATACGGTATTATAAAATGTTATTAACTTTATACGAATATATTATTAATGGGTAGATAAGCATTACTGTTATAACGTCATTTATGCTATGTATGGTTATTATTAGATGAGCTTTTACTACAAAATGGACGAATAGAATGCTACATAATTCATAAAAAAATAACAATTATTACTAAATATTTTATTTTTTATTATTATAACTGTACGTTTTTTATATAATAATATATATATATATATATATATATAGTTTTATGCAACACTGTGTGCATTAAATAGTGTTTAAATATTTATCTGTATACGGACTTTTCCATATATCAAAATTATTTTTACCAACGGTGTGAATCAGTGACTGCTGGCATTTGTGTGTTCTGAGAAAAAAATTACTTTTACACTATTATGTTTAGTATATTTCTTTTTTTTTGTTTATTTAACTATATATATTTTGAATAATTAATAGTATTATATTTTATTTTATGAGTACTTATAGTATTACAATGATTATTGCTCGTTTTGACTAGTTTATGTATTGAAAAATATCTATAAAAGTATAATTTTTATCAATTCTTTTCAATTGTATGTTTATTTTTTTTTATATTATTAGAATCTCCAAAATTGTTACCGTTTAGCTCGAGTCCGCTGTTTCCATGAATAAACCAATGCGTAAACGAAGAGAAAGATGCATGTAATTATACAATCTTATATTTAAGTCTTGATATACATTTTATGGCATGTGCGTTGAATTATATTAAACGAGAGTTGCATCAAATAAGTATTATAGTATAACAGGGTTATAAATAATTAAATTAAACGGTTGGGTGAGGTATTACCCGTAATTTGTTGGTAAACCCAATTGGATTTATATTTTATTAAACCAATACAAAGTATACACTATCCTGCACTCCCTCTTGAGCATTGAAATCAATTATTTTCTAAAAAGTCTATCACATTATTGTAAAAAAGGAGTGATAAACACGTCCATATGTCCATTTTGCCGTTTGTATTGGTATTATATTTTAAACTTTTAAAACACCGTAGTTTAAACTTTAAAGACAGTTGGCTAAACTCGATGAAACTAATTAATGATTAATTATTTTAGATCTATAACAATAAAGAAAGAGTTTCAAAAGAATACATTTAAGGTATAGTAGGAATATATTATAAATAATACATGTATTCCTACGAGCACAAATCTCTACAATAACTACCTTAGTTGTAGTTCGATTTTTATATTTTTTATTTTTTTATTTATAAAGAGTCCAGTTTTCTTTCCGGTAATTGTTGTAGTGTAGAATAAACAGGTTACTTGAGTTTGTAATATTACACTAGTTTATAGAACAATTAATTTCTCGTGGTTATTTTTGTATAAAATAATTTTGTTGTTATTCAAACATTTATGTATTTTTTATTAACGAAAATACGTCTACTTTGATCAGTGCCAAATATTACCAATTAGATATAAAATTAAAATAGTTATTTGATAAACATTTTAACCAATTAATCAGAAATAAAACAATGCAGTTTAGCAATACATATTTATAAATTAGGAATAAAAAAATAATTATTTAAAAGTAAAAATAAATATCAAATAATAATGCGAGAAACATTGATATTTAACTCAATATTAATTTCCAATATCAATATTAAGATCCAAAAAGTCTGTAGTGAAAACATAATATTGTTAAACAATAAACTATAAATGTAAATTTAATATACAGAATAAATATTTATGATTTAAATAATTTAATAAGTGGTGTTTACATGTTATAATTGTATAATGTACCGTAAAATGGGGTTACTTTGATAATTTTTGTTAGTTTTTTTAGTTCTATTTTTATTGAACTAATGCTATGGTAAAGAAAAATGTATTCATTAAATTGGTTTACTTCAAATATATATTTCTCTACAATAATACATAAAAAAAAAAATTTTTTTATTATCTTAACACATATATTTTTTATATTCAATGTAGCTATCAAAGTTTGACCACATATGGGGTTACTTTGATACCCCCAGTTTTTATTCATTAAATCAAATGGTTAGCTAGCCAAACTATCAATGTTGTCCGAAAAAAATTTTTTTGATAATTATTTTATGAAATATTTTAATATAAGTGAAGTGGGGTTACATTGATACATGTTTTTTTTTCTAAACAAATATACCTATTAATTCAAATGAACACATTTCTTTCAATTCCATTAAAATTTTATTAGGTAGCCAGGTAGGTAATAAAAACAAAATAATAACAATAACAATAAAATATAATATATATATAATAAATATAAATAAAATCGTTGGATGACCACACTTCTTAACATGTTTGCCATTGAATTTATTGTGCAATGTTCCATAGGAAATTTTATATGCCTTGCTGGCAGCTAATATTGAAATCTCACCATTGGCAATTTTATTTAGTGCTTCCTCTAAAATGTCATCTGAGTAATTTTTATAAGACCGACCACCAATCTTCTTTCTATATTTGCGAGCCACTAAAATATATAAATATATATAATGAACTATCTACTAAATGTAAAAGTAATGAATTAAATATGTATGCAGTGGTGTCCAACTATTTTTATAACAAGTATAACTAAAACCAACTACCAAACCAAAAACTCATTGTTAAATGTATGTATAAAATAGTTATCAAAGTTGCCCTATATGATATATCAAAGTAGCCCCATGTTAAATTTTTATATGTATTTCATTAAATTCAACATGGAATTGAACTTTGAACATTGTGTTTCGGTCTCCGTTACATTAGCATGTTATTTAGATGGTTTAAAAAATGGTGTATAAAAGTGTACTTACTTTGCGCAGATCTTAAATTATGAAAAAAAAAAAGTACTAGTTAATCATAAGATGAATAAACACTGAAAATCAAACAATCATTGATAAAAACGTATTATCAACAACATATTTGGGTTCTAGACTAGTTATACTAAACGACTAAATATTAAAAACGACAATTTGTACAGATTATTAACTATTATAATCAATGTTTTCATAACAAAACCTCAATTATCAAAGTAGCCCCGCAATATCAAAGTAACCCCATTTTACGGTATATCTGTTGTATCAGTACATGGATAAGAGAGATGTATACAACATGTTATAACTTGTAAAAATCATTTTTTTTTATCATAGGGAATACATATCGTCTGTCTATATTAAATTTACATATAAAAATACATTCTCTCAATAATGATTCGAATATGATGAATCTATGACTTATCTACTGTAAATATTAATGAAATATTATATATATGTATATAAAAAAAAATATTAAAAGAAATGATTTTCTATATTAGTGGTTGAGATTTTATAGCTGATTTTATAAGGGAGGTGATACTGGATTTTTTTTCAGGATAAGTTCTATTTATAAATGAAATAATTAATTTTAGTATTTAGTAAAATAACAATTAATACATATATATATATATATATATGTATAAATTCTTTCTAGATAACAAGTCACAATAGCCTTACGTGTTTTCTGGTTAAATAATTAAAACAATAATTTTACATTTTAATTATAAGAAGATTTCTATGAAGATGATATGTGAGTCTCCTCAGCTTTTGCTATGTATTGACCTTGTTCTTTGGGTTTTGAACACTACTTTGCAAAATAATTAATTAAATTAAATTAATGTGTGTTATCCCTAAAGGGTTGAAATGTAATATTCTAATGGTTTACTGGTGTACAGAAACAAAATAACACTTTGAATTACGTTTAAAATAATTATGTCTGAGCATAAAGTAGTAAAATTAATGTGAACAATTAATATAAAGTATTAATAATATCAGAAATTATATTATTTAAATCAGTAATTTACTAAATATGCATATCAATGATATTTATTAATTTACTGGATACACAAATGTTTCTATCGATATGTCTGAATTATTTTTGTTGGAATTTAAAAGTTACAAAAATAATTTTTATTTCTTTAGAAACTTATTGTTTTTAAGTGCGATTTGTATTTAATCGATATCTAAACACTGATTACCTTTGGGATTCAACGTATTTTAATTACTGAATAAATTTTAAATTATAAAATTTTTAAATGGATTTTCTACATTTAAAATTTAAAAATAGTTATTTAGATATTTTATAAATCACAATAATTTTTTTTAATTTTGTGGATTGAAAATCATTAGAAAATACTCTCTCTTAAATGCATGTACACACAAATAATAAATATCCTTAAGATGATCACACCGCCTTAAGAATTACTGGCACAGATACCTCAATAAAAAAAAAAAATAAATAAAAAATAAAACAAAAATACCAAATTAATTATTTAAATAAATAATTAAATAAAAATAAAACAAATAGTCTAGAATTGTGAAGTAGTGTTATTTGGATACCCCTTCAATCAAGCTGTCCAACCCTGTAATCAATTAACTATACTACTTATATAAACTAAAATGGATTGTATATATTCTTGTTTGTTTTTAATAATAAAAAAAAAAATTGAAATTATTTTTATTTATGTTTATCTAGTATTTTTAAATACAGATTAATACCTAATACTTACAATTATGAAATTTAACTGAGTAATTTATGAATTAAATATGTTTAACTTGAACGAATCATTTTTGGTAAAATATTTTTAAGGGTCGTTTAAATATTATTGTAATTATGATTAATATAATGATGTAAACGATATTGAACTAATACATAATTATTCTGTTATTATTTTTTCATTATAAAAATAGGAATTTGAAACTATTTTAATTTTTCAATGTATTGAGTTGTACTTACGTCGTTTGCGTTATACTTTAAAAGCGGTTCGTTAGTTTTAGTTGTTTGTTTCAGAGTAAAAAAAAGTACGGTCCGAAAAACACCCTAAAAAGTAGAACCATCTAGAGATGCTTTTATTTCGATTAGATCTGAATAAACCCGCAATATATAAAGCTATGTAGTTTATTCTAATTGAAATTCTTCTCGAATACAATCCTTATTTTTGGAAACCGCAAAAAAACCACATCATATGAAATTGGGGGATATTGATCTTTCTGGGCTTTAGATGTTTACATGAAAAATTTTATCTGGACGAATGGTTGTATGGAGAAAAAATTGAACATGGTCGAGTCTATATATCCTCAAGGAATCGAAGAAGCCATTATGATTATTATGTTGATTTAGTTCTAAAATAGTGGACAACAACATTTTAAATTATGATTGATAGGTTATTATACGTCGTATCACACACACACAAATATGTATACTAATATACTAGTATATATATTATACATCTATTGTACATAGATACACGTACATTATGTATTGTATATGTGTATCTGCTACATATAACTATCAAAATTGTACATCATTTTCAATTAATGAACATAATACCAAGTAATTTTTGGTGTTTATAAACTGTAAATTAAGGACAGAATATATAATTTCAATATCTAGTTATATTGTGATGTTTAATCATACAAAATATTTAGGTTTTTTTTTTATTTAATTGTAATAAATATAATTCTTTAAATTTTATAAATTTTGCTGAATTATTTTTTTAAACTTCCATATATTTAGTCAATATTTTTTAATCTGCGTATTAATTTATAAATATATTATTAAATAACCTGGCATTGCTGTAATGTGACCAACAAAGTCAAAAAAAAAAAAAAAAAAAATAGAATAAAAATCAACTTTAAATATTCTATAGTGAAGATACATCATTAAGTAAAAAAGTATACATCATTATTTATATGTATAGTAAAAAGTTTTTTTTTAAGTAATTTAAAATGTTAAATGTATTACATGTTATCATAAAGTTTTTGTAGTATTAGATTATGATTTACTCGTTTTATTTTAGTTTTATATATATTTTTTTAAAGTGTTACACAAAGTGCTATAATGAAAATAAAATAAAAATATCCTGTTATATATTTCGTCTTCGATTTATTCTATTTGTTTCAGATTCAGAAGTTATAGACAGTTTTCGTAAGAAAGACTTAATTTAAGTTTCTTGTTTTTGATTTTTATGCCCGATTTACAAAGTGTTTTGGTCTTCAAGAGCTGTGTAAATTCAAATGGAAGCTTTACAATTTGATTTAAATTCAACCTAATATAATTGGTTTTCCGATATCGTTGAGACATTAATTGTTTTTTTATAAACTAAAGGGCTTTTAAATAGATCTTGATAAAAGTCATTTTTAGGGTTTGCAGTTTTTCATTTTGATAGAAAAATCTGCGTCCTGTATATAATACAAGTTATTAAACACTCTGTGGTTTGTATAATAGGTACTTTACATAATATTTATTTTATAATTATTGTTTTAAAAATAAATCGTATTTAAAATATATTTTGTATAAAATTGGATTCTCCCGACGTGAATCTGATGCTTGTTGCCGATTCCCCCAAATATTGCGCTTTCACATGAATCGTATATGATGTGCGAATCAAAGTGAAACTGTACGAGCTGTCATCTTATGTTAAGTATGTAGATGAAGTGCGAATCAAAATATATGATATAGAACATTTAGACATGGCTATTTGGATCAAAGTGAATTAAACAACTTTAAGAATAGTCCAAAGTTAAAAAGGTAGAATCGTAATCACATTGTTTAATATGGGATTTTTCAAAATATTAATATTTTTTTTCCTTTTATATTTATTTTAAATTTAATTTAATTCAGTATTTTAACTAAACTACACGTTGTAGATTAAGTATAATACTATTTTTATTTTTGACGTCCAAATGTCACTATTCGCAAAAAACACGTTTACACGGGTCGAATCATATTGAATCTTGCTTCGTGAATTAAATCCACTCCGAGTAAACCAGGCTTATGCACGAACGGGAATTATCCGTTTCCGCCAAAATTTGAAATGATCGTTTCCGCCAACGGCCGTTTCTGCCATTTAAAAAAAAGGTATGATTCCTGCTTCCGCAAATCTACCTGCTATGGTAAAATTGTAATTATATATTTCATATAATTTGAATACTATCCATATTATTTTTAAGGTAAATAATACAAAAAATAATATTGCGTCATTTAAAATAATAATAAGTTTTCTGTTTATTCAACGTATTTTCTACAAAAATAATAACAATAATAATTTTTTCATAGCTTCTATTAAATACAATCAGTGTCTTATATTTTTTTTTTTTTTGGGGTGGTTTCCTCCATGTTATTATACCCCCCTCAATCGACTTTTAAAAAAAGACTTAATATATTGGTATTATCATTAATTGTATGAAGTACTCTTTTTATTTTATTACAAAAGAAATGGTATTATTATTTAAAGAACAAAACTGAAATTAAATTTGATTATATTTGACCACTTGTTGCGAGGTTTATTTACAATTAATTAGGGGTATCTAAAAATATTTGAATTTCACCGAGTTATTAAAATAACAAAATTACACGTAACGAAAATACAATAAACGAAAATATTTTGAACTTGTGTAGTTTATTTTTAATTCTAGTTTACAGTTTATCAGTTTAGAGTATAGAATAATAAACAAATTAAAAATAATATAATATTTACTATAAATGTATAATTATACATTTTAATAATACAGATATTTGTCAATTTATCATCCAATATTTTGTTGACCATTGTGTTAAACGTATTAGGTTATAATTTAATAACGTATGTATTAAGTACCAATTTATTCAAATAATTTAAATAATTATTAATGTGAATCAATTATAGTAATTAGAAATTATGAAGAAAAAACGATCAGTGTGTCATCAATTATAAGTTACACAATATTAATATTATTTAAAATTTTTAAAATAATATTTTAATTTTAATTATTTTAAAATAATACTAAAAAATTCAGAATAAACCAGTTATAAATTAGTTTGTAAAAGTTTATCTTATTTTATAATTTTGATCAATATGACACTTTAGTTTGCTATTTAAAAAAAAGTATTAATACAGTCGAGTCGATAGCTCGAAGTTTGATGCTCGCTTATATTTACTTTAAAAACTGTTAATTGTACAATAATGTGAATATAAGGAGTTAAATTTTAAAACTAATGTTAGTAATTAGTATTAAGCATAGGCATGCGCACGGGTATGTCTTATAGGGTTATAGCCACACCTAACACTTTTTTCTAGGTAGGTACAAGGTACTTAGGTAAAAAGGGCTAATAACTCTTTTTTTTGGAAAATCATGTTTTTTTTATCAATTTTATCAAATTACAAAAAAATAAAAATTGCCGGGACTGGCGTTCATTGATAATCAGATTGTACATCAGTTTTTCTAATAAATTTTATTTCTACTTACTGATGTTTTGTATATATATATATATATATATATTTTTTTTTTAAAGCGGGGTTTTATAAAGTGGTGGGTGATCAAAAAAAATAAAAGCTACTCCGGAAACAAGAATTTGTGCACTCCTATGGTATTAAGTAATAACCTTTAACTTGTCTTTTATATAATTACAAGAGTTGAAAATGTAGAATTACTTGACAATTCTTAATATAGTAATTTGAAAAAAGTAAGTTCAATATTTTTATACATTAGTAAATAATTCTAAAAACTTTGTTTATGAAGTTCATTAAATGTTGGACACCTACCGAAAAATCACCCAAAGTACGCTATTGAATACAATAATAAATCAAGTCACTAATTGATATGTACATAATATTGTTTCATAGTAATAATAACACTTAAAAAATCGTAATTGTTGTTAGTTTATTTAATATAATTAAAGTAGGTTTATGTTTATATATAAAAATTTGTGATTGATATGAGTTTTATGGAATACAAAATGTTCTTGTCTGCACTGTAATTTCAATATTATTGATTTATATTCAATATGTTAATTATATATATTTTATAGGAATGTGTGTGAGTTATGATTATATAACTTATGATTTATGAAACATGAAGATTTTCCTTTTTTAAAAAATATGGAATACATTGTAATAATTTTGCTATAGCAAAAATATTAAGCATATTATAATAATTTTACCATAGTATGTAGATTGGTAGAATCGGGAATCATACCTTTTTTCAAATTGATGGGAACGGTTGTTTCAAATTTAAGCGGAAACGGTACATGCCTGCACACACATGCTAATTATTGATAAGCCAGGTTTATATATTATTACGACTTTAGTCAGTTTATTTTTTTATGTGTCGTATTTTTGAGGATAATGCAGTACTATTAAATGACAAATAAGACTCATTATTTTTTTCATATATACAAAAAAAGGATACCCTATGATATTTTCAATTGTCAGTGTAAAATACTTTGACTGATTAAATGACATAAAATCGTTGATATATCTATCGTTGTTATGTCTTAAACTAATATAATGTATACACTCGATGTAAATGAGTAACAGCGTATATAACACTAAGTTAGTAAGTTAATACTTTGGTGTGAAGTTAATTGAAAAAACTTAAGCGTACATAGCTATCGTATTATATTATGTAAATTCGTTTAGTTCAATGAACATTTCAAATTTATCATTATTATATTTTTATATAAAATACGAATAACTAAAATAAAAAATATAATACAGTCTATTACGTTATATCGCATAATAACAATGTATATTTTTAAAAGGTATCGGCGGCTGTGCTATTTTTGCTTCGACAATAATTATTATTTTTTTCAGAGTGGTGCATATAATTCTATGATTTAGAAATATTTTATTCATGTGAAATATATATTTTTAATGGTGAATTTGCAATAGATAAAATTCAATTCAATTCATAAAGATGTATTTATAGTTTTAACCAATATGGTTTGTATATTTTACCTACTAAAATCCATTAGGGGGGGAAAAAAATTCCAATAAACAATAAATAATAAAAGGCTTTAATAAGATGACAATAAGACATGTGTTTTTAAAATCTTGACATCTACTATTATTTATTTATACTATAACTAAAATGAATTTATTTTCGTAAATTGATTAATACATACTTATTTATTTTTTAAGGGGTAAAAAAACTCCACGGGTTTGTTTGATGGATAAAAGCGCTAACCGAAAAAACTACCCTGGTGGTTTTTCAATTATGTTTACCTATACATACGCTACACTCCAACACAGCCTACATGATAATATATGAATTACATTTTACATTATGTATTAATACATAAATTATAATAATATGAGTTTGGATATTATAAGAAACCTAATAATATTTCCTTAAAAATACATATGCCATTTACAACTGAAGAACGTTTTTATACTTTTGAAATTATAAATTTGACGATTACAATTTTTTTTTTCATTACACATTCAGATTTATGAAAGTCGATGCACTTGATTAAATTCTGAGTTTAATGTTTAAATATTGCATATTTTAATGTAGATAAACTAAAATCTGCGTTGCGATTAACGATCGTCATTGTAGTTGAGACTGGTATGCGGGATAGTACAATACATCAGAAGACAATTATTGTTAAGATTGGACAAATAACATTGAAATATTATCTAAAAAAAAAAAAATTTTGTCATAAAAATTAGTATGCTATCAAAACATATTTTTACCTTTGGAAAGCGTTGTCTAAGGCATTAGAAAAAAAGTCATAAACTTTCTAAGTTTATGATAACTTACTGTCGAGTGCAGAATTCATATATAGCTATCCTGTTTATAGGTTCAACGTGAAATATACATGTATTTCCATCAGATATATATACATACAATACAGGAATTCGACTTGTCTCGCGTGTTATGTATACATTATGTAATATAATGGGGTTTTGATGCGAGGATGGTTTGTGTAGAATTGTATGTAAAGAGAGAACGTCGAACTAAACTTAATATTATTTGATGTACATTCAAAACGGGGGGGGGGGGGGGGGGGGGGGGAGGGGGCTGAAAAATATTGAAATGCCGGACGATTTCAAGAATACATTTTTATACAAATAATAATAATAGTAATAAACTTAACAACATACAAAACATATGTATTTTTTATATTATTATAATATAATAATGTTTATGTAATACGTAGTTTATAGATATTTTTAGGAACATTTGACCTGTTTGTAAAGTTGAAAGACCGAAAATTTGAAAAATATCAACGCGGCGTCGTGCGCACGTGAATACATACGCACGTAAAGGCACGACGATATTATATTGTTATGGATGTATGCATGGTTAGGTTATGTATTGTATTGTATTGTATTGTATATTGTAGTACAATATAGATAACACATACACGCTATTTAGTCATGTATAAAAGCATGTGTACATGTATGATCTTATAATATTTAGTGAAGTCTAAAAAACGAAAGGCCGTTAAAGATGAACATTTCTGGATGCAACCGTTTCAGGATGATCTCCTTAATACTATGATATTGCTCTTCCACGTATCGTTTTGTCAATATTTCTCGTAAACCTATATATATATATAATCAGACGTGTATAAAAGGGGAGGATTTAGGGATTAAACTCCTCCCCTGCCGAAATTCAGGAAAATTATTAAATATATTTTTATACAGTAAAAGTGGCTTATAGATTATATGAAAATGTATAACCTAAACCATCTAAAAAAAAATATATTTTTGTGTTCGCACCTGTAGATAGTTTATGTGCATATGCTTTGCAGATATGTTTCAAGTGGAAAATATGAAAATAGTCTGTTTGATACTGCTCACAGATATAATATAGGAAATATCGTTCTCGGTAAAATATCATACGAAACGAAGCAGTAATCGTTTGATCCCGATAGAATCGTGCATGGTCTGATATTGCACAGTGATATTTTCACTGTAATGTTGCCGAATACAAAGTATACTTACTATAAAGGGAGCTAGAAAAAATGAGAAATAATACTTATTTCGATATTATTTTTTATGTTCGTGATGCGCTCAATATAAACAAATATATGTTATAATATTTTTATTTTTTGTACCGTATTATACGGCAGAACGCGCTCACGACTGGCAGCACTGACTCGCACGGAATCCCTTTTTCTACATTATTCTTCTTCGCAGCCGCCGCCGCCGCCGCCGCCACCGCCGTCGTCGGACCTGTCCGTCCACCCGCGCCGTCGTACGCAGCGGCAACGGCGGCGTAACGGACCGACGGCGGCGCCAGTTCCTGTCCACCTGTCGGCCACGACAAACGCCGGTGCACGACGAACGTAGCACGCGCACACGTCTCCGAAACTCACCGAACCTGCTACACGTGGTCAGCCCAGCTCGTGCAAACGACGTGCACCACCACCGAGATTTATACGCGACACACACGACGTCGCACTAGACCCACCGACTGGATTGTTTATATCGCTATCCACCAAGCACTCCACTAGCCACGTAGACCCTCGATACCTGCGCACCACGTCCGTAGGTGTTCGATCCTGTTGACCGCGAAACGTGTCCCGTCAACTTCGTCAGCCGCGCGCGATTGCGGTCCGCGGGCCGAGCGACACACAGCGTAACGCGTCGTGCAATCATCGCGGCACCACTGCAATCGCACTATTTGCCCGTCCCGTTCTATACCGTCCGTCATGTCGCGTTCGTCGTCGAACACCACTCGACGTCGCGCCCACGCCGCTGCAGCCACCGCCGTCTTCCTGGCGTTGGCCGTAACCGCGCCGTCCGGCGTACGCGCGGGAAGCTGTCTCGAAGCGAAGCTCTGCTGTCCGGGTCGCGACTCGGCGTGCGTCGTCCAGAAAACGCCCATCAACGCCATCATCGAAGATCCCACGGACAAGCCGTGCTACTGCGACCACGCGTGCCTCAAACTTGGCGACTGTTGCGCCGACTTCAAGTCCGCTTGCGGAGGTCAGTAACATACGTGTTATACTCGCGTTACGAGTTACAGGTACCGCAGAAGAGTTTGCTGCAACCAGGGGGTCGGTGGCGTGTTTGCGATTTTTTCCCAATACCCACTTATTAATAATAATACTTATAACATTAATCTAGTAATTAAGTGTACATAATTCTAGTAATGGTGTAAACGAATTCAACTATATAGTAAGGAGAATACGTTCACTTCTCTCATATTATACACAGGGACAGCACGAGGGGAGGGCGATAGGGGCAGTTAAGATCCCGCGGTTCTGATTTAACTGAACTTAAAATATTTTATTAATAGAAATTATAATAGACTCAAAATTTATTTTTCCCAGGGCCTTGCCAACTCTGGCACCGTCACTGATTATACACTACTAGCTTAATTACCCGGCTTCACATGGAACATTATTGGTCAAGATAGATTTTAATGGATTATTACCTTACACTATTTAAAGCCAAGTTTGGTATAACTGTTGGTTATAAAACAAATAAAACGAAATTTCAAATGAATCGGTATAGTACGGTACAATAGTTTTAGTTATACGCTGAATTACCTCTGAATTTCCGTCTTTGCCGGTTCCAATATTTTTTTAATTCCATTCTTATTGCACGTATTGACCATTGGAGAAACCAACATGTCAAATTTCAATTTCATATTGTTTTAAGATTTAGCGATGATCAATGAGTAAGTGGTACTCGATGTTGCCCGTTAAGAAAATTGTGAGTGTTTAGCTCCTTTTGGGTATTACCGTAGAAGCTATGTCTTTTTAAGTAAAAATCACCAGAAATAACGGTTGAAATATTAATTTTTTACGTATTGTTATAGGTAAATATTAAATATAGTCTATCACACCTTACTGTGCCGTTAAATAAATTTATACATACTAATATCCTTATAATAATGTTTAATTTATTTAGGATCATTTTTTTAAATTTTTTTCTTTTATTTATTTTATCGATAAAAGCCTGACAATTCAAGTTTTCAATTATAAATGCTATTTATTGAAGTGCATTTAGATTACACAATATATTTTATTTTTCCTTTTCTGGTACATACACAAATAAATCAGAAGATTTTCTGATGCGTGAGCAGGCCACATATAGCTGTCCATGTGAGAAGTATGAGTTTTAAAAATACAATCCACTCACTTGTTGAAATTGTCCTTGTGCTTTGTTGATGATAATTACAAAAGCCAATCGCACTGGAAACTGCAAACTTTTCAATTCGAATGATATATATGATGGAGTCATTGGGATACGTGGCAATAGTACATCTTTGTCTTTAAATTTTCCGTTTAAAATTATGTTATACATCAACTTTTTCACTGAAACATCAATCTACCATTGCAGAGGGGTGGTGGATTGATGTTTCATAAAAGAATAATGGACACGCAAATTTTCAATTTTAGAACATGCGGCGGCATGTCTGGCAAATCAAGTGAATTTAAAAATTCAGTTGGATTTTATTTCAAGTTTAATACATCTACACCTCAATATACAGGAAAGTTATTGCAATCAATATATTGTACGGAGATAAAAAAAGAAGAGGTGAATGTCGTTTTTGGAGTACAAGATAGTCGCTTTTGAAAATTATTTTCAATAAAATCGACACGTTTACCATTTTCTAGATGTATGGAACTGAAATGTGTTATAGTGAGGTTCCTTTCCGTTTTTTCGGTTATTATAGCAACAACTAAATCAAAATTTAACAAAATTAAAAACTAAAAAGTATGTACTTTGAGTAATTTTCGAGATGCAGCAATCAGTAAGTCAATGGTGTTTGGATTTTAAATATATAGATTAAGATTTTTATAAAATTCACGTGAAACAAAAATTATGTTATAATTGGAAAATACTTATAGAAGGAGCTTGAATCGAATACGTTACTGCAATGTATGTAAGATTTTGGTCATTTTAAGCGCGTGGATATAAAAGGAGCTTGTATAGAGAGAATTTTGAGTATCCATAAGAATTTATAACTACCTTGATCCAAAGGTTTTCAGGTTTTGATTATCATTTTGCAATACACAAATAGAGGTTAAATATGTTGGTAGAATCTTTATAAGATTGGTTTAATAATAATTGTTGTCTAGCATATTATTTTCTAGTACATGTTTGGATTTAAATGTTAAACAATAAAATTCAATTTATGTATAAAAAAAAAAAAAAAATATTACACAAGAGCTAGAAATTAATTTCTTATAGATAAGCTTCCTGTAATTGTATCATCTCAATATATTTTAAATAATTATGTTTGTTTGTTAGAATGTGAGAGAAATTTCTGTTAGTCTTAAAAAGAATAAATATTTTCTGTGGAATTTATCCGATTTAGATTTCCACGGAAGGAAACAAACTTCGTCGTTATTGATTAATATGCATTGAATCGTTTAAATTTTCTTTCTATTAGTTCGCACGTATGAGTTCATAGGTGGATGTGTAAGGTTTAGAATTTGGAAAGAGGGAAAACGTTTGGTTCTATACTGGTTACTGTAACGAGGACTTATATGGTTATTTCATAATCTCTCGTCTATCGCAATAATATTTAAAAGAAAATGGAAATACAGTTAAATAGCAATATTTATCTCGGGAACTAAAAATATATTAATTAACATTTATTCTGAGCTATAATAATATTTTTGAGAAATTTTTAACAATTTTAATACGTTAAAAGCGTCTTAATACATAGTCGATTTATCGGTTTTGGAATAATTAATTTTAAGCTCGTAAATTCAATATATTTTATATAAAAATTATTTGGGTGTACTATACAGATTTTATTTAATATACCAGAACAATTTTTAACTATAAAACTTTTATTGACGTGCGCACATACTTGAATTTTTTTGTCTAATTGTATATTCGTATAAAATTGATTTACACGCGTTTGTATGGAGAGTTTCCGTAACTCGAACCGTCGTCATGATAAATTTCCCGACCGGAAGCCTTTGTATGTTATACAATTATTTAATAAATTATTATGTATTTCACATATATACAAGTAGATAGGTTAGTTGGATAGCTATATATATTTGTATACACTTTATTGTCCTTCTTGCACAAACATTTCAGTTTTTTGTTTTTGTTAAGCTCAAGTAGCCTATATGCATCTAATAAATGATTTTGTACTTAATACAGAGTTGGCTATTCAAAAAAATGTAAATGTATATTTTGAGTATAACCGCTGTTTCAAAACATCATTATTTAGATATGAAACTGAGTATTATTTTAATGTAGACTCCTATCGTTTAAAATTGGGTTCAGAATTATATTAATAAATAATTTTTCACGATTTTCATACTGAAATTGAATATTTCAAATATTATATTGATAACTTTAGAAATATTTATTTCATAGTGTTTTTAAATTGGTAGATTGAACGATTGCAGAGCACGTACAACGTAATCGCTGAAGATTTATTTTTAAATATTTCGAAGGAGTATTAGATAGGTATGGACTTTTGATTGTTTAAAATATTCATGCACTTAATAATTCTATTTATATTCATACTTAAATAAGTATTCCTATTTTTTATGTATATTTATTTTTGGTTTAAATATATACAATTTTTTTTTTTTTGATACTTATTAAAATAACAATATGTATATTAGTTAGTTTATACACAATATTCCACAACAATAAAATGTCTTTTGGTTGAATAAATAATTTAATATTTTAATTGTGAAAATTGATTTGATGTTTCGATCGGTAGAGGAATAGGGTTTCAAGCTTTGCAGTCAATTTTGGCTACTCACACTGTGAGTAAGTATACTTTTTTTAGTGTTGTGTAGTTTCGTTTTGATTTCGACGACTTTAAAAAAAAATATCATGTTAACGTTTTTCGTTTAAAAAGCTGTATTTTTTATGTAAAATTTGAATAGATTGTAAAAAGTTTTCAAACGTTAAAAATGTGTGTAAATAAAAAAAAACCGTTTTCGTTCAATTTAAATGTTTATAGATCAGCATAAAATGTACACGGGTAGGTAATAAAAATGCGAGTTTTGTAAAAATGTTTAAAATTGACCGTAATAAACATTAAAAATGAAAATGCGCAATGCATAAATTGGCCAATAAAAAAGCCCCAACTGTGTTTTATTGACGGCGTCAAATTCTTCGTACATAAATGTATGGAATAGTGCAGGTTAATCGGAACGAATTAAATTATAAAATTGGACGTTCTTATTTGAATTAATAATTTTAGTTAGTTTACTGGCATCAACTTGTAAAAAAAAAAAATTGAACGATTTTATAGAGTGTAGATATGTACACGGAATTAGTGTTCATATATACAAACCCCAATCAAATTTAAATACCATTATTATTATTATTATTTTACATAGCTGTGATATATACATAAATATACTCGTATATGTATACTTTAATCAATTACAGCAACGATAAATTATTGTTCGTTGCTTTCGAGCTGAATAACCATTCAAATTTTTAGATTTGTCCCTCGTTTTGTGTAGAATATGAAATCGACGGGCGTCACTGAGCATGATGCGTTTATACTATGCACGTGCCAGCACGATAGTAATACAATAAAAATATATTATACCCAAATAGAGCTACATGTATAATCTATGAAAGGAAGAAATACGGTAGAAAATTAATTTACCGTACACTACGTTTTATTTTTAGAGCTTTCGTTTGTAACGCATTCTTCGTATTATACGCGATAGCACCGAAGTAGATCCCCGTAGTGACGTGAATGTCGAATGTCTCCAAAAAGCTATGTGTATGATATGACATTATAAAAGGATAATGATAAGCTATAATATCTTACCTTAATGGTGAATTTTCGAAACGTTAGATCGTATAAATCTACACTACGAACACCACTAATACGATGGAAATGATTTATTAATATTATGTTCTTTAACGATGTATGATAATATAGTAATTATTATACTTATCAGCATCGTAGTGGGTGATCGAATATGTGCGTGTGTATGTAGTTTTACCCTAATCCCCACGAGTATATATAGTGG